CTGTCAGCCTGTCAGCTCCAGGGCTCTGTGGCCTTAAGGCTTGAGTTTTACCGTCTGTTGCCATCCGCAGACGTGGCAATTTCTGCCAGATCGAACAGGACGGTCGGCACCCACGGGCGCTGAACATCCCAAAATTGTGAGCATCCCTTGAAGCCCAAGGCTGTTGATTAATAAAACACCCCATATGGAGGTGTTTTCCATTAAGATACGGGGTCTCTCAAAACTTTTCCAGCCCTTGCAAGTCAGGACCCACAGGCCCACAGTGACACAAGGAGGCCAACAACGAACAACTTATTAGAAGCGTTGTGGTGAGATTGGGAACATCGTTGCAAGGACCAAGGTTCAAACTTGAAACGTGAATAAAACTGAGGATCCTGCCCGAGACTTCGAAAAGAACACATCAATAAGAAAACATTAGGAAAGTTCCCAAACCTCCTTTGAATGTTGAAGGAACACGATAGAATCCGATAGAATCAACAAGTGAAACCATCATTTTGGTAGCGAAGAGCTTGGCAGAAGCTTTTCGGTCTGATGGCAGGTGAAGCCATCAATCGGGAGCTGCCCGGTAAGCAAGTAAGTGTCCATCCATTGAAGGCAAGACTTGGACCCTTCATTGTCCCACCTTCCTTCCCCCACGATATGGCCTATCCCTTGCCAGATCATTTCCACGCCGTCTGGGAAGGCAGCACGCATTTGTTGAGCTGCTGCAAAGGGTGTGGAACGGTCATACAAGCCTTGGCATGGGCTGGGGTTCATACAAGGAACCGCTCGTCACCTCCAATTATATAAACCCACACATTCTCGTCACCCAGTGGTTCTGTTGTTCCACTGTCTATGTCTGTTCACAGGTTGACGAGTGTTCTCTAGAAACAAATCTGGTGGAAGAGGTTTGTGAAACCGAAATCGTTCGAGTTTTGGTCCAACTCTTCGACGCCCAGACCGAGTGTTTGTTCCTGCGCGCGGTCGGCGAGTGTTGGGCCGGCAGGGATGCGCTTGTGGCTCTTGCTGATGGAGCCACAGATAACCCCAACCATCCTCCAAGGACCCCGTGTTCGCTCCAAAATCACAAGTTGTTCCAGTCGGGGTCTAGAATTGTTCAAGAACCTCCCGAGATGGTGTAAAATAAGAGATAGCCCACGATTGCTGGAAGAAAGAGAAGGCTCCAAGATACCCCAAATTTGCACAAAATAGTCTCCTCAGACGCACACAAGTATAGCCTAAGGAAACTCCGCATTGAGTGACAAGCCAGCAACTTATAGATTGCAAGAGAAACGAAAAACGCGGTCACACCTCTGACATGATGCCCATTGGCACTCTGCGGAACTGGCCAAGGAGCTGTTCACAATCAACGCTCTGACGCCCGAGCGATAGCCAAGGACTGCCGGCGTCGGCTGCGCGGGCCACGTCAACAAAGCTCCTGCTTTAATGTTGGCCCAATAGAGCTCCACTCCTGCAAAAGCATAGGCGCAGCAGCCAACAAAAACACTCTCTAAATATATTTTGACCCCTCTTGCAGTCTTGAAATGACCGGAGGCAAAGATCATGCTGTTTTGCTCTCAAGCCTGCAAACAACGCTTCGACCCACGTGTGGGTCAAGCTGCCAGTCCTTTCAGGCCACTTATTACCTCCCTTGTTGAGCCCACTCGCTGCCCCATACCCCTTTTCCTCAACTCGTGTCCAAAACCGTCAAGTTCTGATCGCTACATCTGGCAAGATTCAACTAGACGACAGGGCGGCCCGAAAGCATAGTAGGAGTAAGCATTATAACGAAAGGGTTCCAAACGAAAAAAGAAACTGAGGGATGAACCGTTTGACGGCAACATGTATGGTGCATGACGATGTATAATGTCTGCGTATGTGTGTATGATGATGATGATGATGATGATGATGATGATGATGATGATGATGAT